GTTGTTCCATTACAGATTTCCCAATTTTTCCCACTTTGCTCTCCTCCACCCTGCCTACCACATGCTCCCACAGTCAAGCCCCATTCTGTTGTCTGTGTCTGTGGGTCATTCATACATGTCCCTTGACTAGTCCCTTCCCCATCTTTCCACCGTCATATCTCTCCCCCACTCCCCTCTGGTCACTGTCAGTCTGTTCCTTGTCTCCACGCTCTGGTTCTGTGTTGCTCATTTGTTTGCAATCATAGGAGAGATCATATGGTATTTGTCTTTTACTTCCTGACATATTTCACTTAGCATGATGCTCTCCAGTTCCACCCATGCTGTTGTGAATGGTAGGAGTTCCTTCTTTCTTTCTACTGCATACTATTCCATTGCATAAATGTAACATAGTTTTTGGACCCACTTATTTGCTGAAGGGCACTTAGGCTGTCTCCAGCACTTGGCTATTGTAAATAATGCTGCTATGAACATAGGGGTGCATAGGTTCTTTTGAATTGGTGTTTCAGGATTCTTAGGATATAATCCTAGCAGTGGAATCACTGGGTCAAAAGGCACACCCATTTTTAGTTTTCTGAGGAAATTCCATACTGTTTTCCACAGTGGCTGCACCAGTCTGCATTCCCACCAACAGGGCACTATGGTTCCCTTTTCTCCACAACCTCTCCAACACTTGTTGTTTGTTGATTTGTTTATGATGGCCATTCTGACCAGGGTGAGGTGGTATCTCATTGCAGTTTTGACTTGCATCTGTCTGATGGCTAGTGATGCTGAGCATCATTTCATATGTCTCTGGGCCCTCTGCATGTCCTCCTTGGAGAAGTTTCTGTTCAGGCCTGTTGCCCATTTTTTAATTGGACTGTTTCTCTTCCTGGTGTGGAGTCATGTGAGTTCTTTATATATTTTAGAGCTCAAACCATTGAGTAAGATATCATTTGCAAATGTTTTCCCATATGGTTGGATCCTTTTTCACTTTAATAATATATTCTTAACCCATGCAGAAGCTTTTTAATTTGATGTAGTCCCATTTGTCTGTTTTTTCCTTTATTTCCCTTGCCCTAGGAGATATATTGGTGAAAATATTGCTGTATGGAATATCTGAAATTTTACTACCTGTGTTTTCCTCTGGGACATTATGGTTTCATGATTTATATTTAAGTCTTTTATTCATCTTGAGTTTAATTTTGTGTATGATCTAAGGTAGTGTTTGAGTTTCATTTTTTTTTTTTGCATGTAGCTGTCCAGATCTCCCAATACCATTTATTAAAGAGGGTATATTTACTCCATTTTATGCTCCTGCCCCCTTTGTCAAATATTAATTGACCATAGAGACATGGGTTTATTTCTGGGCTCTCTATTCTGTTCCATTGATCTATGTGTCTGTTCTTATGCCAATACCAGACTGTTTTGATTACAATGGCCTTCTAGTATAGTATGATATCAGGAATTGTGATTCCTCCTATTTTGTTATCCTCTCAAGATTGCTGAGGCTATTTGGGGTCATTTTTGTTCCATATAAATTTTTGAAATATTTCTTTTATATCTGTGAAATATGCCATTGGTACTTTAATAGGGATTGCATTGAATCTCTAAATTACTTTAGGTAGTATGGACATTTTAATTATGTTATTTCTTCCAATTTGTGAGCATGGTACATGCTTCCATCTGTGTCTTCCTTAATTTCTTTCTCCAGTGTTCTGTAGTTCTCCAAGTATAGGTCCTTTACCTCCTTGGTTACATTTATTCCTAGATACTTTATTTTTCTTGTTGCTATAGGGGAGTCACTGATTTCAAACCCACGGTAGCATCTTCCTTTGGTCACAGTGTGTCCTGGTTGGACTCAGAACTTGGTCTGTGACCTTCAATGTTCTCTAGACAGAGAGATTCCTCCAGAGACTGGTCTTAGATCTTGGGGCATGAATAATGATTTTCACATGTTCTTTCACAATTTAACTCAAAGTTCTATCTCTAATGCCAAACACAAATGGTCCATGAGGGCCATATTTCAGTGAGTTCAGGCTGCCCCACTTCCCACAAGTCCCCCTTCTGTAGTTGCCTGAGTGTTTGAGGAAGGGTCCATGCCTGCTGCAGTGGGAGACAGGACACTAAAGACTGAGGGCAGAGAGCCTGGTTCCACTGCCAAAGCCAGCTCCCGTGTCCCTCACTGTATTCCAAATCACTCCTGAACTCTGCTCGACCGTTTCTGGGGTCACTGTCTCATGTCAGTCACCAGTAAAACAGTCACCAGGCCTGAGCACACTGCCCACCTCATGGCCCTGCAGCCTCAGTCCTGAACTGATCCCCAGACTTGCTTCTGGGCTCCCTGTGTATTATTTCTGCTCAACCACCCACTCCCAGGCCACACTGCCCAGTCTCATCAAGGTATAAGGACTATGGGAGACTCTTCATGACTCATCTCTAGGATAGCCTTGGAATATGAGGCTACCATGGAAACACATCTTGACCCAGCAATGTATGTCTGTGCAGCCTGAAGGGACTCAGCACCTGCACATTCCATATAAGATCTCAAGGATAGTCAGGCAGTCAGCTGGTCAGTGAAAAACCAGGACAAGTGCCCAGTGGTCTCTTGACTCCCAGGCCTACATCTTTCCATGATCAAACCCTGATACCCTAATTGACTTCTGAGAGAGTCTGTACTTTCTCCAGACACAGAGCTGGAGGCCTGATGTTCTCAGAGCACTCAGATCAGATCCTTATACATTTGTTTGTCTTGAGATACACAGACGTGGCTTATTCTTTTAAGGACTCAAGGTAGCTGAGAGGTGAGAGGTGCCAACTCTGATTGAAGATGCCTTTGAAAAAGTCAAAGGTGCCACCCAGGGCAATGTTCTCTCTGTTACCTGCACAGCGGAGTTACCCAAACCCAGCATCACAAGCAACAACTCCAACCCCGAGGAGCACAAGGACCCTGTCCTGTTAATGTGTGAACCTGAGACTCAGGACACCACCTACCTGTGGCTGATCAACAGTCAGAGCCTCCAGGACAGCACCAGGCTGGAGCTGTCCAAGGACAACAGGACTCTCACTTTGCTCCATGTCACGAGGACTGACACAGGACCCTATGAGTGTGAAACCCGGAACCCAGTGAGTGCTGGCCGCAGTGACCCCTTCACCCTGAATGTTCTCTGTGAGTAACTTCTGTCCCTGTGTGGTCCAGGCTGCCACCCAAATCCACATGCCAGAGGCCAGGCTACATCCCTCTCAGTCCAAGGACACAGACCCTCACCCTGGACACTCATGTTGGCCATGACTCCCTGTCCCAGGAAAATCCAGGTGGGCCTCAGGTTTAGGACAAACTGGTTGTCTCAGACTCAGCTCAGGGAACACAGAGGTTGTGGATGGGACCTTTCACAACAAGGCTGGGGCCCAGCTCAGAGGGACACTGGGGCCCTTACACAAGCCAGGAGCTTCCCCTTCCCTCTGATGACATCATGTGTGGCTTTGCTCTGTTTGCTCCAGATGGCCCAGATGCCCCCCTCCATTTCCCCCCTCAGACTCCCATTACCCACCAGGAGAAAACCTCAGACTCTCCTGCCATGCAGCCTCTAACCCACCTGCACAGTATTCTTGGCTTATCAATGGGAGACCCCAGCAGCCCACACAGGAGCTCTTTATCCCCAGCATCACTGCAAATGACAGTGGATCCTATACCTGCCTCGCCCATAACTCTGTCACTGGCCTCAATAGGACCACAGTCAGGACCATCACAGTGACTGGTAAGTGCCTCCTGGACCATCAGCACTGAGCTCTGGGGTGGAGGTTGGTCTGGTTTTCAGAAAAGAGCCTGGATGTTGTCTCCATCCTGTGGCCATGGACACAGCAAATCACAGATTCTTCCCCTGAACCCTCCCCCATGTCTCTGTAGTCTGTCTCCTCCCCTTAGTTTTCTGATTTCTCATGGCAGAGCTGGGGTCCAGCCTCGGAAATGAGGAAATGGGGTTCTCTCAGCCCCAGAAAAATTCCACATAGTGGAGAGAGCTCCACATAGTGGGAAACACAAGGGGCCTCATCATCAACCTTCTTCTTCTGTCACTAACTCCTTCCTTCTCTCACCTCCTCCTTTTCTGTGACCCACTCCATGTGCTCCAGGAAACATATGAGGCTTTGAGTCAAGCTCACCTCTTTCTTTCTAAACAAAATGGTGAGACCCCCTCCAAGAAGGGTGAGCAGAACCGTCCCCTGTTCCCTGCTCTGCTCCAGGCTCATCTGGCACCTGACTCTGCTGCCCTCTGTGCAGAGACAGGGCCCTGGAGAAGTTGCGTGGGTGGCCTGTCCTCAGTCTGGCCAAACTGAGCCACCCACATACACCAGAGCCTCCCTCAGGCCAGGCTGCATGGAAACAGGCATAGTGTAGCCACCTCTGAGCTGTGTCCTGGCTCTGAGGTCACCAGCTGTGTAACACAGTGTGACACCAGCATGTGTGATGTTCCAGAGGAGAGCAGTGAGTGATGGTGCTTACCTGACAGATAAATAGATTCCTGCATGAAGTCCCTTCATGGGGCAGAAGGGGCAGTGCCACAAAGAGTGTAGTTTGCCAAGAAGGCTGAGTCCCAGACTTTGTTAAACTGTGACTGCTTCTCTCTAGAGGTTTCTCTTCTCTGTGATATTCAGTCCACAGGCCAGGAAGTGAGAGTCCTATTCACACTGAGAAATCCATTGGGTTAGAATTATTGGGGTCCTAAGGTCATGTAGATTGGCTGGTCTGCTCTCTCATTGCTCTCATTGTCTTATAAATTATTTAACAAACAGGAAAAACCTTCCCTTCTGAGCCTCAGTTTCCTCCTCTGGAAACTGGAATGAAACAACTGGACCTTAGAAATGTTGTGAAGATGTTTATTATGACATTTATGACATTAGAGTCCTCAGACAGGGTAACTCACATTTAGGGCTCTGTCAGTGCTGCCAAATAGTGATATTATTTGTATGAACGTTGTCATCAGCTGTAAGTCAAGACTTGCTGAAAATGTTGTTTATCACTCACCACTTCTGTGACCTCCAGTGGTTTTTAAGCACCTCCCATCCCAGCTTCTGTCCGTGCTCCATGGGGGTGACACCCACCCCTCGTGGGGGTGGAAGGATCAGAGGATGGACAGGGTTTCCCACCCTTCCTGGGCCACTGAACACAGTCGGTGCATCCTTACCACGAATCAGCACTGAGTGGACAGGTCAGGGCCTGCCCTCTGAGACTGTCATCAGGGCTGGGGAAGAGGAAACAGAGGGAAGGGACACAAGGTGAGAGGGGAGAGGAGTCAGGACAGTGAACAGGACGAGGGAGTGTCAGTGTGAGAGCATGTGCACAGTTAGAGCCGATGGAAGGTTTCCAGTGTGTAAAGTGAAAGGATGCAACCATGGGCAGGGGATCAAGTGAGGCCTTGACCTTCCCATGAAGTCAGACCATCAGAGAGGTTCCTGTCCTGGGTCCTCAGTCTCTTCCCTGGTCACTGCCTCTCCACCCCCATCTGCCTGTGGCCCTTCCCCTGTGGACCCAGGTCCACCATGGTTTCTTAAGGCCTTTTCTCACAAAGACAGTGGGATGACAACACTCAGAAACCACACACAGAGATGGGGACAGTTCCTCCCTAAGCAGGACTCCCCACTGCAAGGCCCCTTGTGGTTTCCCCTGAGTGGACTTGGGCCTCAACCCTCCCTTCTTCCCTTCTCCTTTCAGCAGAAAATGACTACATGGGCTACTCTGCAGGGACCATTGCTGGCATCGTGATTGGGGTCCTCTTCGTGGTGGCTCTGGGGACCTCCCTGGGGTGTTTCCTGTACCACAGGAGGACTGGGAGGTACAATGGCATTTCCTTCACCAGAATTCTGCCCCCACCAGAGGCTGACCCCATCACACCCCAGGCCAGGAGGATGGAGGTCCTTCCCTGATGCTGGGCTGGTCCTCTATCGACTCCTGACCTCCCCAGGGACGTTCCTAACTCACTCCCTCCAGCTCCTCCTGCACCAGCTGCTGACCAGGGCAGTTTCCTCAACAGCTTCCTCATCTATAAATGAGTCACAACCAAGGAACTGTCCCCTCAGGATGGTCCCAGTTTACTCCTCACACGTGCACGGGGCTGCCAGGGAGTAAGTGCTCAGTGAGGCACCTGCTGCTGTTTCTCTAAATCCACCCACCCTGTGAGGGGGATCTGCTGCTCCAGGATCTGAAGGGCATCCTGGCCAAGGTCACACAGCTGAGGGTAGCAGAGCCTGCACAGGCCGGGTGGGCTCAGGCGCCCCCATGTGGCCAGGTTGGGAACCACAACCCCTGATGTGTGAGACAGGAGACCTGGGCCTGGACAGGACAGCAGACCCTGTGCTGTCGTTTTGGCCTCCAGTGCAGGCAGATGGAGACAGAGAACAAGCCCCTGTCACAGTTCAGCTCCTGGGCCTGAGGGGCAGGTCTGGCCCCAGCAGGGCACCACTTTCATCCAGAGGCAGCAGGCACCAGGCCCCCAGGGTCCTGCACAAGCCACTGGCCCTGCTTCCCTCTGTGGCCTTGACCTTCCCACAAAGTCAGACCCTCGGGGTGGTTCCTGTCCTGGGTCCTCAGTCCCTTGCCTTGTCATTTCTCTCCACCCCCGTCTGCCTTTAGGTTTTACTCTATGGGACCAGGTCAGCCATGGATTCTTTAGGTCTTGCCTCAGTTTCCCTGTCCTGGGCCCTCCCCTTCCTAAACAATGGAGAGAAGTCCCCACCCTGAGGGGAAAGGAAACACTCCTTGTCCTTAGTTGTGACACCAAAGCTCCCCCTGCTCCCCTCACAAGTAAGTCTGACCTCTCCTAGGACCAGTGACCCACGAGGCCTCACAGAGCACCGACCCCCAGCATCCACCCCAGGTGAGTGTCTGCTCAGCCTGGGAGAGGCTGGGCCCCTGACCTGCCCACAGTGTCCACTCCTGCCTGCACCCCTCGGGCTCTGACCCTTCCCTGGGCTTCAAGGCAGAGCTCTCATCAACCTCTCAGCACAGGGGACCCCAATTGCCCATCACCCCTGACCTGTAGGGCTCCATCATGTGTCACCACCTCCCTCACTGGACCTGAAAATGGCCAGAGGGTCTGTCTCTGGGAGATGCTCTGTCACCCCTGGTTGTCTGGAGCTAAAGACCCACCCCCTCCAGGACAATGGGTGAAGCATCCTCACCCCTGGGTGCTAACTCTTGTCTCTGCCCCCAGGCCAGGGTCCCTCTGGAGCCTCCACCTCCCTGGTGAGTCCATCCCCTCCCCATCTCTCCACCCAGGGTCCCGGCTGTGCAGGCTCAGGGCAGGGGCACCGTGCAACCTCAGAACACAGCACAGACCCCACCCCCAGAGCAGCCAGCGCAAGGCCCACCCCACTCTGGCAGGGAGGGTGCACCCACATCAAGGGCAACCCCAACCCAGTCCGGAGTCTGCACTGGTTTCCTGGGGTGGACTGAGGAAAACCCTGGGGTCCAGCATCGGGCAGAGCAGGCACTGAGAGCACCAGCCAGGGTTCCCAGGCTAACAAGGACAATGGGGGTGCAGCGTGGACTGAAACTGGGGTGCAGGGTGACAGGTAGGTGTGGGGACAGCTGCTCAGGAGGCAGAGCTGTCACTCCTGTGCAGAAATGGCCTCCCACCCTGTCCCCTGATGCCCTCTCTCTGCCTCCTGCACAGGGCCCCCTCCCCGGCCCCAGGACAGCTGGCCCCATCTATGAGGTGAGTGTGGGTGATGAACGTTCTGTCCTGCAGGTCACAGGGGCCCAGGACCTACCCCCAGCCCAAGCCTGACTGTGCTCCATGTTCGGGAAACAGCAGCATAACCTGCAAACAGAGGGTGGGGAGAGGGAGGTGCCCGGGGACAGGCACCCCCAGCACAGGCAGGCCCCAGCGCACCTGGGAAATGCTGCACTTGTTCTGAGGGGGCTGCAGGGCTCAGGGGCCTCTCCTTCCCCTCACAGGACTTGCTGCACCCGAGCACAGACGTGTACTGCCGCATCAGCCCCAGAGCCGACAGGGCCTCCTAGTTCCTCCCGGGTCCTGCTGCTCCAGGGCTGTGGGGAGGGACAGCCTGAGACCCAGACCCTGGGGGGGTTCGGGAACTGCAGCCTGAGCCAGAGAACCACCCCTGAGCCTGGAGGATATTCAGGGACCTGGGCCTGAGGTTGGGGTCCCTCATGATTACTGATGACCCAGACTGGACACCCTGACCCTGATGGACCAGGGTAAAGGCTCCCATCTTCCAGAAAGTGACAGGGCCACTGAGGCACTGAGGACCACCTGTGTGATCTGAATAAAGGGGACCCTCCCCTCGTTTGCTCTTTTTCTACCCATGTGTACTTTTTAAAAAAGATTTTATTCATTCATTCATAGAGAGAGGGGGAAGGGAGGGAGCAAGAGAGGGAGGGAACATCGATGTGAGAGAGAAACATGGATTTGATGCCTCTCACACGCCCCCAACCAGGGACCTGGCCTCCAACACAGGCCTGTGCCTTGACCAGGAATTGACCCAGTGACCTTCTGGTTTGCAGGACGATGCCCATCCCATTGAGCCTCACCAGTCAGGCCCGAAAGGGAACTTCTTTAGCAAAAATTCACCTAAAACTCTTGGTCCTTTTGCTCCAGGGTCACACAAGGGAAAGAACTCTCCAGGCTGCTGTCTCTGTTTCCTGGGGAGAGGAGACACTGTGGGTGTGGAGGTGGGGGGGGCGGTGCTAAGGGAAAAGTAGAGCCCTGATTGGGTCACTTGGTTGGTTGTAGCCTCTCCCTGTTGTGCCAGGTTTATGGGCTCCCTCTCTGGTGCAGGACATGCAGGAATCAAACCAGTGAGTGCATGTGTGGGCGGACCAACAAACCAATGTTTCTCTCTCTCTTATTTCCTATCTCTCTCTCTCTTTCACTCACATACACAAATCAGTAAATAAAAAAATAAAAGTAAATTTAAAAATAAAAATAAAGCAACTGCAGAATTAAGAGGAGTTGAACCAACCAGGAGAGACCTGGGCTGTCTTCACACAGCTCCGGGGACCAGGCCATGGACACTGCCCAGGGTTGTCCCTTTGTACATGTGCCCTGTGTCTTGGTGTCACCCAACAGGGGTCATCTCGTGTTCTCACAAAGATGAGCAAGGATCCTCCTGTGAGGTCATTGTATGCACTCACAGTTAGACCATATTCCTGAGTGGAGCCCCTTCTGAGTGTCCAAGTGCCCTGTGCCCCTGCTCCTTCCTCCCCTAGACCCTGGTGGCCTCCACAAAATAAGTTCTCTATCCCCAAATCCAGGATCCAGGGAACTGGGCTCTGTCCATGACTTTGTGCTTTGACCCAAAGGCCAGCCCTCAGGTCATCTTCACATCTGGGGGACACAGACAGAGGCTGTCAGAGTAACCAAGGTGGGGAGGACCCAGGACTCCTGCCCTGAGCAGCCCCTCCTTGGCCTGTCCATGACCTCAGCCCCCACTTCCCATCAGTCCCCTCTCTCCTACTGCACCTGGATCTCACTGACACAGCATCCTTTCCACAACTGAGCATCCACCAACAAACACTCACCCAGGACCCCATGGAGATGGGACCAAGTGTCTCCTCCTGCACCTGGCCCAGCTCCTCCCACACAAACCTCACCTGCAGCCCCCTCTGCACAGCTGGGCCTGCAGCTCTCAGTCCTTCGCTGAGGGCCCTGGATGGGTGCTGTTCCCATGGAGGTCCACTTGGGTCAGGGTGCCCACATTCACCCAAGCAAAGCTGTTCCAATACCGAGGCCTCAGGAGGACATTCCTGTTGCCCGAGCATCATCTGTCATGGGATGAGACAGAGTAACAAACTGTCACAGGTTGACATCACGACTGACCTCTGACCCCCTCCCTGTCCCAATGCACATGAGGTTAGACAATGCACTTGGGTTAGACAAGGCGACGCCTCTTGCAGGTTTCCTGCAGCTGCTGCAGCCAATCACCACACACTTAGCTGAGTCACACAGCACACATGATGGTGTAGACGTGGCTCATTCCTTCTGGAGGGTCTCCCTGGTGTCCTCGCCTCTTCAAGTGCTTAGAGGCACCTGCATCCCCTGGCTTGTGGCCCCACCTCCATCTTCAGAGCCTGCAGTGCAGCATCTTGAAGCCCCTGCGCTCTGCTGCCCCCACCACACCTCCTCCTGGGTCTCTGCCTCTCCTGCCCCCTCTGTCCCTTAGAAGGACAGGACCTTGTGATTTCCATATGCCCAAAGGTTAACCAAATACTCTCAAGTCACATGATCTCTCATCTGTACGTTTCTTCTGTTAGGTGACATATTCACAAATTCTAAGGACAAAGATGTGGACTTTGGGGGCCCTTGTTCTGTCTACCACCCCTCTCCAGACTGAGTCCATCATCTTCCTCCACCATGAACTGCCAGTGGGCAGCCTGGACTTGGTCCTGCTGACTCTGAGGTCAGTTCCTGCAGTGACATCCACAACACCCTCCTGCCTCCAAGGGAGGGAGACAGAGGCCCTTCCACACACCCAGCAGGCCCCTCCACCTCCTCCTGTCAGTAAAGCTCCTTGTGAACAATGAAAACAAAGCAGACACAGCTCCCAGCTCCCAGCACACAAGCCCTGGTTGCATGTCCTCAGCACCACAGATGGAATCTCAGGGACGCTGCTCCCAGGGGCTGCAGCAGGGTGGATGCCATGAGAAGGGACTGTGGGAAGGCCACTTGTTCCTATTCCACAGAAGAAAGACACAACCAGGGGGATGTTATCACCGGGAAAACCTGACTCTGCTCCAGTTTATGAATCATGACCCTATTGTAAGTGGCTGCACATCAGTTCTTGGCACTGCCCACACACAGCTGACTGCTGCACCCAGGGGTGACCTCTCAGAGGCTGGCCATGCTCCAGCCTCAGGGAATCCTCCTGCCCCTGAGGGTCAGGCCACTGTCTTGCCTACAGCACAGAGGGGACACTCCCGGAAGAGTCTTCATATGCTCCCACCACACTAGGTGCTGCCCTTCTCTCTCCCTCACGATTATCACTCACTAGTCCCTCCTGTAGCTGCTGACTAAGTGCCTGGCTCCCTGCTCCAAGGATCCAACTCACCCAGGCCTGTCTCTGTGGTGTCCCCAGGCCAAGCCCAGTGCTGGCACAGAGGAAATGCTCAGGGAGTGCTCACAGAGATGGAAGAAATCAATGAAGGAGAAACCAAAGACCAGATGGACGGGACACTGGAAGACACACAGACACTGGCACCATTGAGGGTTCTCCTGAGGACCTGGGTCCTGGACCCTCAGGAAGTCAGGAGGACAGGTGTGCACAGGTGTGAGGGATGAGCTCCTTCAGGACCAAGACACTGACCACACCCACCCACACCTCTCAGCTGTGAGCAGCTCCACTCCCTGCTGTGGGCTCTCCTGGCACCACCTGCTCTTCTCACACAGGGTCCTGACCAGGCCTGGAACCCCTGACCCAGATCCAAGGTGATGTCAGCACTGGGCAGGACTGAGCCCCCTGACTGCACAGGGAGTCAGGACCAGTGTCCCACAGCCCAGCTGACCCACCCCCATGGCCTCTCCTCCAAGGACACACAGAGTCACACTTCACACCTCTAGGGACTAGTCCTGCTGGGACCCCCAGGTCCTGACTTTCTGTCCCTGGAAGCTGTGCCCAGGCTAGAGCCCCAGGGAGATAGGAGGGGGTCCCTCTCCCCAGTCCTCACCCACTTGACCCCTTCTCTCCCCAGTGTCATCTCTGTGACCTTCCTGCTGAGGGGAAACCCAGTGTCCCCAGAGCATTAGAGAAGGTGGGGAAGACCTGGTTCCCAGCTGGGTTTCTGTGTCACAAACCAATATAGTCACTTGCTTTTTGGGGAAGCTGGGGCTCTCTGTGTTGTGCTGAGAGACTCAAAAGCAGGACACAGCAGAGGCCAATACCAGGGTGGGAGAGAGACAGTCTCTCAGGAAATGGGTCCCCATCAACCTTATCATGAAAGTGGGCAAACAAGAAGGAGGGGATAGGGGAAGCAGGACTGAGTGGAGGGAGAAGGGAGGGTGCTGGGCACATACCACCCCCCAGTTTACTGGCCAGTGGGTGCTCCTGCCCATGGAAGATCTACCCACAGGGAGGAGGGACAGCAGCTCTAACCCATCTAAACAGTGGGGCCCCTGAGCATTTCTGGAATCCAAGCTCCTGTCACAGAGGGAGGGACAGAGCAGGCAGCAGGAGCCATGGAGTCCCCCTCAGCCCCTCCCTGCAGAGGGCATGTCCCCTGGCAGGGGCTCCTGCTGGCAAGTAAGCAGGGGAAATCCCTGGGGGTGGACAGGAAGATGGGGACAGAGACTAGGTCCTCTGGGGAGGACAGCACTCTGAGAGGGGACAGAGGGCTCCTGTTTGGACCTGGGGGAAAAGGACAGGGGAGCAGAGTAGGATGAGGAGGGGGCTCAGCAACAGGGAAATCTCATGATCTGGAAGTGTGAGGGGCAGGAAATCCTTGATTACAGAAAGTTTTACAAGTTCTTCATCACTGAGCAATAGGTTCTGAAAACAGATGATAAAAATAACAATTTATATCAGTGTGATACCAGAGAAACTTAACCAGAGACAGGAAACTTTTTTATACCACCAACTTCAGAAATAAGCAGATACACCCCAGGAGTTCCATTGAGGACCTGGGATCCCTCCCTCATTCCCCCACAGGTGCCTGCAGCCTGTCGCAGAAAATGCGGGTGCAACAGGGTCAGACAAGCCTCTGCCTGCATGGAGCTCATGTTCTGTGGGGAGGAGGCAGACAAGGAAAGATCTGGATGTCATGTCAGGTACCCACAAGTGCCACCAAAGCTAAAGTGCCAGCACAGGTCAGAAAGTGAAGACACAGGGTCGCCAGAGAAACTGGTCAAGAGAAAAGTCTTTGGAGAATGCCCCTGAGTGTCAGCAGGGGTCTGAGGGCAGTGAGGGGGAGCTGGGCAGACACCTGGGGAAGAGCATTTGAAACAGAGGAAGCAACGGAATCAGAGATGCTGAAGTAATGGCAGCCATTCTGCTGACCTTGACCATGGG